TCCAGTTTTATCTGGACGATGTCATTGTCTATGGTTCCTCCCAGAAGGAACATGATAGTAATCTCAGACAAGTCCTCAAATGTATTAAAGAGGTTGGCATGAAATTAAATAGAAAAGCCATTTTCAATGTTTCTGAACTGTCATTCCTTGGTCATCGTCTGTCTGCGAAGGGTCTAGCACCCCTTCCGTCGAAAATAGACGCGGTCCTCAATTTTCCAGTTCCATCGGAACCTTCGCAGTTGAAGGCCTTCCTAGGTCTAGTAGAATATTACAGTAAGTTTGTCCCCCACTATGCTACTCTTGTAGAACCCCTCCGAAGGCTTCTGCGCAAGGGAGCATCTTTTGTCTGGTCGTCCGACGTAGAGGCCAGTTTCCAAAGTGTCAAGTCCTGCCTTCAGCAGGCTCCCATTCTTGCAATGTTCGATCCAAATCCTCCAGTTGTCGTCTCCACAGACGCATCCAATTATGGACTAGGTGCTGTTCTCCAGCAGCAGCATGGGAAGCAACTAAAGACTGTTGCTTTTGCTTTCCGCTCTCTCTCCGAAGCAGAGCGGAAGTAGGCAGCAGGAGAGAAAGAAGCTCTCGCAATCCTCTGGGCTTGCGAGAAATGGCACGTTTATCTTTGGGGTCGACATTTCGAAATTCAGACAGATCATCAAGCCCTCATCACACTAATGTCCACTCAAGAGACAGGTGTTCGTCCACGACGCATCAGTCATTGGACTGCTAGACTTTTCAACTATAATTTCACAATGAAGTATCGTAAAGGCAGCGATAACGTAGTTGCCGACGCTCTGTCTCGCCTTCCGGTCCCAGACACCGAAGAAGGTACGTCTTTTGAAGAAGAGGTAGTTTCAATTGTCTGTGCATGTCTCACACAGAAGGAGTTCAAGGAAGAAACTCTAAAAGATCCTGTATTACCAGTTATCATGACATATCTTTCAAACACATGAACCTCACAGGACAAGTTGCCTCCAGAATTCAAGCCGTATTTCATTGTAAGAGACCAGCTCTCAGTCATCGATGCATTGTTGTTCCAAGGAGAGAAAATAGTGGTTCCGTCCACTCTCCGTGATCAAGTGATTGATGTTGCTCGTGAAACCCATCAAGGTATCTCGCGCACCACCAGTATCATCAAGGAGCTTTACTGGTGGCCGCATTTAAGTCAACACGTCAGGACGAAAATTCAGAACTGTTCGGTATGTCAGTCGACAGACAAGCCTGCAAAGGCATCTCCAACACCTCTTCAACCAGTCGAATCCCCACCCGTCCATGGGTAAAACTGGGCATGGATATAGTAGGTCCCTTTGAACGAGCCCGGGCTCAAGAGAGGTTTTTCATTACACTGGTAGATTACCACAGTAAGTGGCCTGAAGTGGCACCAGCCCACAACGTCACGACTGCTACAGTCATAAAGCTCTTGAAGTCCATCTTTGCCCGCGAAGGTCTGCCGCAGGAGATCACGACAGATAACGGCCCTCAATTCGTTTCAAAGGAATTCAGCGAGTTTTTGAAGATGCATGGCATCAAACATATGAAGTCATCTCTTTACCATCCCCAAGCTAATGGGCAGGTAGAAAGATTCCATAGAGTCCTTAAGTCTGTTATTCAGTTGGCTCTCGTCCAACATCGTCCGCTTTCCGAAGCCATTAATTACAGAATATCTCGGGGTATACCGGAGTACGCGCCATGCCACGACTGGAGAAACGCCAGCTTTTCTTTTACACGGTCGCACCCACCGGACACGACTGCATTTTCAAGGGCGAGGGACCCCAGAGTCTGTTGTCCCTCCGCATGTTGTTCAGGAAGAGCTGCTGATAGAGTCAAGGAATATCAAACGAAGATGAAAAAGTATTCCGATGCCAGGCGAGCAGTCAAGTGCCTTGCTTTTGCTCCTGGGCAAGCAGTAAAGGTTTTCAAACCCAACATTAGAGGGAAAATGCGCAACAAATATGCTCCACCGCAACATATACATAAACAAGTAGGGCCAGTTACATATAGATTAGATGATGGAACCATATGGAATGCAGACAAAATGACACGTACAACATTGAAACCACCCCAACGTCAGCCGTTGTGGCTTATGGATGATGACATATTCCCCACTTGAACTAATGCGGCTCCAGCTATAAGCCTGGGCCATGTGCCACCTGAGGGTCCGGCACCTGCAACTTTGCGTGCTGCGGCCCCCAGCGTCACTCCTGTCCGTCCGGCCCCTGTTGCCGTTCCTGCTTTTGCGGCCCCTGCTGCCGTTCCTGCCCCTGCGGCCGGTCCTGTTTTTGCGGCCCCTGATGCCGGTCCTGTCCCGACGGCCAGAGAGGTCGTCCATGCCACTGCGGCCCCTGTGGCCGCCCATGCTACTGCGGCACCCAGCCTTGGCCATATTGCTGTGGCGCCTGGTGCCCACAGTCATGCGAGCCCTGGCGCCACCCATGATCCTGCTGTGCCAGGCGTCGTTCCTCATCATACGGCTCCTGCAGCCCATGTAGCTGTGGTCCCTGGTGCTGCCCATGTACCGGTAGTAGCCGGTGCCCTTCCTGTTCCTGGCGTACCCGGCACCAGTTCTGTGGTACCCTGTACCGTGCAAGATGTGGTGGTTTTCGGTGGCCTTCCCACCACCCTAGTCCCCGGTGCCGTTCCTGATTCCAGTCTCCAAGCGGCCTTCCGCGCTGCTGTACCAGTCCAAGCCAGCAGCCAGCCACCAGTTCCGCCGGCTGCCCCGGCTGCAGTCTTCCAAGAGGCCCCCAGGCTCGCTCTCCAGGAGGGTCCTGAACCTTCCGTTCCTTCAAGCGGTGCAATATTGGGCACCGCATCAAGTTCATCCCAACTGGGACTCAAGTATTGCAGCGAGCTGCCGTCATCTAGCTCCGCAACGGTCTCAGCGGAGTCCCTGCACTCCGTGGGGTTAAAGGCCTCCACACTTTCCGAGCCTTCAGTGGCTCCGGATTTGGCAGAAGACCCGGAATCAAGTCCCGAGGCAACCCAAGAATTGACTTCTACATCAGGTGACGGTGGTGCAGACACACCACCAAGGACATATCATACTCCACCACAATCCCCATCGGACACTCCACAACGCCCCACGCAACTTAGACGACTTCCCGAAAAATTTCGTGACTTTCTAGTGGATATGTACTCCAAGGATGCTTCTTAAAAACTTTGGGACTTAAGTCATAGTGGTTTGCAATTTCATAGTGTGCACTGTATTTTTATAGGATGGATGTGAACAGACAGTTATTTTTGGCATTTTTCATATGTGTTCAAATATCAAGTTTCCATGCTATGTACATAGAGGTTTCGGTCAAAGTGTTTGAATTGAAAATGTTATTCTTTATGTTTCCAAGGACTAATCAGCCATTTCACTCAAGGAAGTGAAAGTGTTAATCTTTGTTTCAAATGACTCCTCAAACCGTGAGATTTTTGAAAGTGTTGTTCTTTGTTCCAAAGGACTCGTCAGTGACATTTTGGTTGCAATGAAGAGAGCACTTTTCAGTCTAACTGAATTCAGCTCGACATAGTATGCGTAGCATTAATGACCATACCTTTAACATGTATTTCTTTATCCTTATTTCCTCCGGCCACTTCATAATTAGTTTTGCTTGTAGTGATTGGTTGATAGGATTGTGTGTACGTGTGAATTTATATATGGTAAAAAAAAAAAGAGTATGCTGTTTCTTGGGTCGGTAGCAAATCGTCCAACAGTCATTTTCTTCTAAGGGGGGAAAAGATGTAGTGTGCCATCAACAAGCTAGATGGCACAAGAAGTCATGGTTTGTGTTGTTACGACGAGATGGTGCCACGTGCTTGACAGCAGCACGCGCTGTCTCTGGATTGATGTACATATTGAAAATAGAACAGTCTTCACAAAAACTCCGAGCTGGTGTGACGTCTCTTTCTTTCGTCGGGGTTCCCGCCTTGGGCACCGCACCTCGGCACCCCGCGGCCCACGCGCCGGCAATGTAAGCCTTTTTCAGCATCTCTACAGGCCTTTCGGGGCGCTGTCCTTATCCTAGCTTTTCTTGTCTCTTTCCACTCATTAGTAATGGCCCCACGCAACCATTACAGAAAGCTGCTGTGTTCCTCTTGTACAGGAAGAGATGCGCGCTCATGTGTGACCCTGATTGGAAGCCACAATCAAAAGTTATTAGACAAGAGATCATCATAGCTAGTGTACAAAAAGCATGCCCTGAAGGTCAAGATAACCTTCTGAACACCGAAGTCCTCCTCCAAACGTTCCGATCCTGGGCTATTATAAAAAATCAAAGCTGCTACGTCAGCACTATCATAGACGGAGGCAGCCAGAGGACATTTATTTGCGAGGATTTGTCACACAAACTGGCTCTTAACGTTTTGGGAAATACCATCGTCAGCCTGAACACATTTGGAAATCCTACGGTATGACGCCAACAGGTAGAACTTGTTCAAATTCAGCTGCACAGTCAGTTCGACCAGAAAGTGTTTGCTTGAAGCAGTGGAAGTCCCATTCATCAGCAAGTACATGGCACAAGCAGCTCGGAGCACGTGGAGCGAAAGCTCGAGCTGCAGAACCCAGGATACTGGGTTCAATCCCCGCCCCTGCCCGTTTCGATCTGGATGGGCATCGTACCGGCGTGCGGTCGTGAATCACTACTGCGTGATGCACGTTAAAGACCCCAGGCTAGCGGTTGTACTGCACTGACTAAATTGCTCATCTACAGGTGGGAGACTCGTCGCCCTTGGAGGCAGACCAAGTTCGAGGCTGTATAAACATACACACAACCCAATTTTTTACATGGCACAAGCACCTACAGATAACAAATTTATTTGCAGCATTGAACGGGACGGCAAGATCTCAGACAAGCTGATATTCCTAGGCATGATGTCTGTGCGTGGCATTGGCCTGATGATCGGGTATGATCAAGAATGAATGATCACTGGAAACAAAACCAGTAAATGTCGCTCAGGGAGCTGTGCACGTGCTTGGCTCCCGATGAACGCTGGATCAAAACTTATGTACTCACGAGGTGGTCGCGCGAGCTCTCCGATGCGAAGGATGGCTCCGCTGACAGCATCCGAGAGTTTCATGAGTTTTGTAAGCAGTAAAGGCAGGACCATGTTTCAACCTGAACCAACTAAGGTAGTACTATGGAAATACTACGGTGCTACGGGCCACACACAGTAAACAAACGCCTCCGGTAGCGGGGTAGCGGCCACTTGCCGCACGGAACATCAGACTGGATTTCGGTGGATTATAATGGCTATTATACCTTAAAGGGTCTCTGAAAAGTGCAAAAAAAAAAAAAAAAACGTTTTTTAAACAGTTTGCTGGGAACAAGCGCGTCAAAAAATGAATGCTACGCAAAAGAGATGAATGTTTAGAGCAACATTGAGGCGAGGGATTTTTTTTGAAAGCTCTGATTGCTCTGATTGCTCCCGGAGCCGTATCTGATTGCTCCCACCAGTTAATAAGTGGATGAACACTTTGTTTTAGGCGGTAGCTTGCGCTACCTAACATAACAACTTCTAAATGTTCTTGCGTAAATGAATGTTAATGATGATGATGGTGGTCACATGGTACACATTGCAAGCTTTCCGAATAGTGTTCGGGCGTTCGCTGTTCGCCGTTTCGAGCAGTCTCGAGTTCTGCGGGTCGCGTCATCGCGTTCCCCTGTGTCACGGTGTCGTGTGTCGTCCATGAGCCGGAGCGCGTCGTAACGCCGCAACGATGAACCTGCTTCGCGTTCTCTCGCTGCAAGACGACAGGGGCGAACTGTTGGGACCGGAATTGCAGGTGAGTGTGCCCGCACGGCCGTCATCGGGCGGGCCCCCGCGCTGGCGGCCCACGAGACCTAGCCACGAGTACGAACCCGACTTGACGCCGCCCCGCAGGTGTTCCGGGACCACGCGGACCTGTCGGAGCGGATGAGCAAGAGTTTCTACTACGGCAAGCTGCCTACCACGGACCGACCCTCGCTGGCGCTGACTGGTAAGTCGAGGGCTCCGTGTTCGGGCGGGCCCGCCGAATGACGCCCCGCTCGTTCGCAGGGATCGCCGTGGAAATGTTCTCCAAGGTGCTCCCGAACGACGGACTCGAGCTCCTCGACATGCACTACGCAGCGTCGGTGACCAGGTGCGTGCGAGCTCTTTCCCTGGCTAGATCGAATGCGCGCCAAAGCCTCACCATTCCTCACGATGAAGCGCGGGTCCATATCACAAGAGCGAATGACATTTTAGCGAACGGCGACATTTGAGCGAATGGTCGTTTTAGCGAATAACGGGGGCGCGCGTTAACCCATCCGTCGCGCTGCGCTTTACGCCGCTTCGCGGCGACAGTCTTCGGCAACTCATTACGAAAATGTGAACCCATTTGGCCCACCCGAAAACGCCGCTTCGCGGCGTCCGACTATTCGCTAAAGTGTCGTTCGATGAAACGTGGGCGTTCGCTAAAACGTCATTCGATCAAGTGAGTGCCTCCCATGAAGCGCAGCTGTAGCTACTAGCCATATCCCAGTCAGCAGTCCAACGCTACTCCGCTCCCGAAAGTCACATGGCACTAGCACTGCTTTTGGATTAGCTTCGATGGCTAGTGCCTGCGCTTCAGAGTAAGCTGAACGGGATGTGCCGTACTTGAGGCTGCAGCGCCACGACGTTCGTGTAACTGAGACCCGAGAATGAAAAAAAGAAAGATGCTAAAAAAGAAGTGGATCCACGCACACGCCTTGTGAAAGCATCAAAATAGCGGGGATGTTACCGGTTGTTACCGGAAGCAAGGCATTCCCGATTTGTAACCTTGCGGCCCATGCTCAAAGAGCCCGTAGGATTTCAGTCCACCTGTTTCAACAAGCTATTCATGAAGGCCCCTTCGATTTCAGCCGATTTGGATTGAGCCCATCTTCTAAACGCCCTTGTCGTTTCGTCTAATTAGCGAAATGTTTCTCGGAACACCATTCCAGTTTGGTGTGTATTGGACACGTTTCTTTCACTTTAGTGCATCCTGAAGACATGCTTTTGTTCACACCGATTGTAAAAAAAAAAAAGACAAATGTGACGTGAAAGAAAGAGTTGCTATTACAACTTTATTTTGTCTCGTATCTTTTTTGTGCACTATTAGCAGTTGTGGGAATTCGCATATGCCGCCGATTCGCCATTTCCCACGTGGGCTGTCAACAACCCGAGTCCAGCCTGGTTCTTTCACGGGAGTGGGATTCCGCTCCCCGTTTATTGGTGCAAAAACACAACGCTACAAAACACTCAATCTAAACTACAAATACACCCGACATTACACAAATATTTACAAACGCACGTTAAGCCCAAAGCTAAACACAAAGAAGGCCCCCAGGCCTCGTGTCGCGCGATTACCCTAGATCCGGTCGCCACCCACTTGCCTGTGTTTCGGTCTCGTCCGGAGTTCTAAGAGGCCTCTCGCCCCATGGCCCACCGAGTATATCTCGATCGATGGGCGAGGAGGTTTCTCCTCGCACGCCTGGATGGATGGATGAATCCGGCTGAGCCCTTCGGATCGGGCGGTAGCTTACGCCACCTAGCCATTTTGTTTACCATTTAAGCTGGATGGTGCTGCAGGCGCCACGGGGCGCCTGCAGCGCCATCCAGTGGCTGAGAGAGAGCGGCACGTCAAGAGCCAAATTCGAGATCCCAATCGACCCCGCGGCGACAGGACCATGTGATCGTGTCTGAGGCGAGGCAGCTCGTGGCAAGTATGCCAGAGTGGTTTGATGGGCGCCCTCGTGAATGCACGGTGCGCCATACAGTCCATGTTCCATTCAAAATGTCAAACCAGCTGCCTGTGTAGGAGCGCTGCTGATGTTGAGTAGTCGCACGTATGCAGATGTCGCCTCTTTGCAAAAAAACATGATCACATTATGTCACAAACTGAGTATGTTTATTGGCTGTTGTTTTAATTTATTTATACTATGCAAAGAAGAAAAAAAATGTCAGTCTATCTTTTCAGAGTTGTGCTTATGTGAAGGGGTAAGATGACAATGGTCAATAGAGGAAGGTTGTTTTGGGAGCAGGTAGAATGAAAATGTTGTTTTTTTAGTTGAGCTGAAACAGGAATGTTTGGATTTAGAGTGGGCTGAAACAGCTCCCAGCTAAAGGGCTGTCCAATTAAGACAATTCGGAAATCGTGAGATGACAGAACTTCGTCAGAAGTTGAAGTGGTTCAAATCCGGCAGTCTGATGTCTGTTTGACCACTACCAAGCAAACATGGCGATTTTCCACCTCGTTCCCTCTGCGTTTCGGTGACCTCTGTGCTTGTCAGACTTGACGTCTAATGTCACCTGCCAATACTGTCCATCTGTTCTGCCGGGCCCTCGTATCCTTGACCATGTTCCAAAATTTACGTGATCTCACTCCAGGGTAGGGGTTTTGTACTTTTGAGTTCAAAAACCTACCCGCGTCCAGCACTGCAAGATTTCAAACATAGCCCTTCCCTTTCGGCACCTGAAGAGCAGCAGAGGCCTTGAGCGATTGCCTGACAGCCAACAGAGCCTGTGAGTGGCTGTCCGGTCCCATGTGATGAGCGTACTCAAGACCTTAATGAAGAACACAAACAAACTTTGACAAAAAAATCTTTCCTCTTTGCAAAAAAAAGAAAACAACAAAAAACGGACAGAAGCTGATTGTTGCACGACTTATGTCTGAGTTGTGTCGCCTCACAATTTCTGAGGTGTGCTGTTTGGACAGACCTTAACAAGTGCGATGAATGCGCTGTGATCTCGTGCTTGTTGGGTAAAGTACATCTAAAAAGCACTTCAAGTTAAGTGCAAAGTAAATTGAGATTATGTACTATGCGCCTCATACTTAATGCCGCCACGGCATTTGGCGTTTTTGACAGTCCCTGCGGTGGCAGATTGAACTATCGAAGCATGTTTCGGTTCCCGATTTCTATCCCATCCTGAGAAGGCATCCCGAACGTTATGGTGAAAAGTTTAACTATAAGTAGCCGATGCGAGCGCAATGTTTGGGAATCAAGTGGCGGCATTAAGTATGGGGTGCACTGTACTTTCAGTAAAGTAGTAAGTACACTGGGCACAATGTACTTGAGGTAAGGTACTATAAATACAATATATTGTCAAAGTAAAGTAGAAGTACTTTTTAACACAATTTTTCATGTTGCCTTTTCATCCCTTAATCGGTAATGGAAAATTTTCGGAAATGACGGCGAATATTGAATAAACTAGGGTGGCCACAGTGTAGTTGTTTTACTCTCACTGACAAACTATTTTAACAGAATCATCCTATAAGGCACTTTATTCTATCTGTCCTATTGGTGGCGTGCATAAACCACAGGGGCGCTTCTCTTGCTATCATCATCATCGTTTGTGACGTCGCGGGTAGGACAGACTGTGCGAATCGGGTCACACTTTTCGGAGGAGCAGGGAGGGACAGGGGTGTATCACTGGGGCGTGCATTAACCCCCCCAGGCTCCCCCCGCTTACGCCGCTTCGTGGTGACAGTCAGTGGATGTCCCATTAAAAAATATTAACGTATTTGGCCCACCTGTACATGCCGCTTCATGGCGCCCCTCCAACGGTTGAAGCCCCGCTGTCCCCCGTTGCACCTCTAAAAAGTAATTTCCGAAGTTCCGCACAGATCTTGGATCTGTCGGCTGCTCAGCTCGCTTCATGCGCTGTTTGGGTAACGCGCAGCAAAGCCGGTTTCACGCGTTGCGTTTATTTGGTGAAGTGATATTTGTAGTAAGACATTTACCAAAGCTTGAAAACGAGGCGCGGATAGTTGTGCTAATACACACTTTTGGCACCGAGGTGTCCGAAGCACTAGGATGGTCGTGGGCTATTCTCGTTGGCTCCTCTCTACCCAGGTACAAAAAACTGGATAATGAAAGTTGAATATCCAGAACATCTACCAAGGCGAATAGGGTATATTTTTTTTATTATGGTTTGGACAAGATAAAACTAAGGAAGGAACATCTCATCAAATTGAAAATAGGAAAGCAAAATTCGAGAGCCTGTCGCATATGTAGTAAACACTTCAATGAAAGTGACTTTGTGTATCCTGTTGGCTCTAACATGTTCTGCGAGTGGTGGTCTCTCATTTGTTCAAAGTTGGTTCCTTTTTGAATTCGCCCGGTCGACGTGTCTGTTAAATCTAGTAGGTCGATGACACTTCAGCGTCTCAAAAAAAATTAGATATACTCCTGCTATGAATTACTCTCGTTTGTATGTTCAATTTTGCGGGACCAAAAAATGGCACTTAATGCCTGATTCTTAGTAAAATTGTAAAGAGCAAATTAATCAATTGCCTGAATTTGCCGGCCATAGCCGTCGGTTTAAGAAGTTAGGAAAATTTCTGCTCTCCTTTCGAGCGAAAGTCTCGATTTGACAAACTTTCTTGCCACGTATTCTATACGGGTCGAGCTAAGCGTCAGCAACTGTCAAGTCGCTTTTAGAGGCGTTGGCATCAACGAGCTCAATTTAGCTAAAACAAGTGTGTGGCGATTTGCACAACACTGTGCACATGTGCACAGCTAAGATAACACCCGTCATTTACTCTGGTGAGTGCAACACCTTTTCCTACAGGAGCCTCTACAGATACGAAAAAACAAGAATCATAGGGGCTGTGAATAGCCCTGATACACGCCGCACAAGCCGTAATGCGAAGCTCGAGGCTTGAACATTTTAAAGATTCTTTTAATATAACAAAGCAACTTTGAGGCGCTGTTATTCATTAGAAAGATCACCCGTGAAATGATCATACATGTTTCTTTAATAAGTAAACCGTATGTAATCGGCGTAGATGCAAACTAACATACCGTGCTGTTACATAGTGTGTCGTCTGCTCACGTCCCACCAGCACCGTCACAGGAGAGCGCTTGGTGGCACTACCGAACATGATTCATCCGCTTGAGTTTCTGATGCGAGTAGAATATTCCTCCCAGTACTGCTTCAGAATTGACAAAACATTATTTTGCGATACAAATTTAACAAGATCAAATTTGGGGAATGTATTGTGGAGTCGGGAGTTGTCATTTCCTCACAAAGTACCAGAAAACTATGCTTTTAGTGAATTACAAGAACATACTCGGAGAATGTACTTCAAGTAAAGTACAAATATTTTAAACCTACTTAAAGGGGTATAGAAACAAAAACTGAAATATTCAAATTTTGTTCGGAAATGAGTCAAGCACGACGGATAATAACAGTAAATGATTATCGCCGGATTGTATTTTGAACGACTGGCTCTATTTTTCGTTCCAAATGGTGCACTTGAGCAAGCGCTCGAGGAGAAGCAAACGGAGAGCGCGATGCGTCTTGGGATATCCGGCCCAAACAAAAACAGAAAGAAAAGATTCCCTGCATTGGGGACGTAGCAAGGCTGGCGTGGTTATGAGCTTTGCCGTTGGTGGCGTTGTCAGCGTTGTGGTGGTGTCAATAACGTCAACGCCTTACAACCGAGCCGTTCGAAGTACCCGCGGGGTGACGAGCGTGTGGCTGACCCAAGGAGCACGTAGCTTCCACAACACTGTCAGCTTAGGGCTGAACGGGGTGGAAAAAGCAACAGGCTAATCTTCTACGTGGAGGATGGCTGTATCCGGGTGCACAAACGAGGGTCTGAGAAAGAGGGGAGTCCCTCCTTTCCGTCTTCTTGGACTGTTTGGTACAATGCGCTGGAGGAAAGCTAAGAAGGAAAATTAAAATGCAGTGATGGAAGTGCTGCGCCAATTGCGCCAAATTGCGCCAAGGACGCAATCCTGCTACATGTAACGCCAAATCGTCATTTTACCGAAGAATTACGCCATGCCTGCGCCGAGATGAGATGTAGCAATAAAAAATAGAAATTGAAGTCTTGTCAGAGCGCGTGGCGGTACCGCGATATTTTCCGCGGCGCAACTGTTACGCAAATCGAAACTGCGAGGGCGCATTATCATCATCATTAAAAGGAACAACGTTAGCAACATCTGAGACCAAAGCCGCAGAGGCAAAGCGAAGAACCATCCCACTGAGCAGCCTATCTAATAAAATAAAAAAAAGGCCGAGCTTGTGGATGTTTTCAGTGTTGGCCCGCCCTGCTCCCGTGCGCTAGCTAACACCGAAGTCAAAGCTAGCGGGAGCCCAATGCTCTGTGCATTCCTGACTCGCGCGTGGGCTCGTGCAGTGTCGGCACCGTTACGGGCTCCATGCGCACGCTTGCAGCTTCGGCTGCGCTCGCACCGAAGCTGAAATAAAATATAGTTGAGTTGCACCAAACTCTGTATGTAGTGCTGGTAAAGCCTCATCGTCCTTTTCGGAGAACAAAGCACTGCGCGACTCGCGCGTCTGCGGTGTCTGCTCCGCGGGTGTCGCTTCTCTGCAGCGCGTCGGCGCATGCCAAGGAGCGCACTCAACTGGTTAACTCGCCGTGATCCGATTGTGACTTCGCCAGCAGATCGAAAATGAATCGAAATTTTTGAAGCGAATATCAGATACCGCAATATTGGAAGCTGCTGCCCGAAAGACAACTCTAATCTGAACTAAAACATTCCACAACAGTGAGGGTCGTTAGATGCTGCTGCAGATACCTTAAAAGAAGTGCAGGCTGATAAAACTAAATATCCTGTACCATCAGAACTCAGTGTGACATATTTAATTGTATTTTTTTTTATCTGACGAGCAGATAAACTGAATTTTAAAAAAATGTTTTTTTGTGTTTACTTTGTTGAATTTCATATATCCTGTCTTAAAAAGGCGACAGGTGCTGTGTTGCAATAATAGAGATGGGCTTTATATAGCAATGCAGCATTATTTCATCTTCCAAGTAATAGCCAACATATGCCGGACCCTGCTCCAGAAGGGCCACTACCTGCTCCAAAACAACATTTAGCCTGCTACAAGGCCTGTTCCAAAAGGTCAAATTGCACTTCCATCACTGAAAATGCCAAAGAGCGGCGCTGCTCCGATGGAGCTTGCTACGTCATGACTGCGTAGAAAGTTCCCCAATGTTGCTAGATTACCTCCCAAATAGGCTCCACATGCATCCACCTGGTGCGCATTGAAAGATTGTTTCATTAGCTTTAAAATTAGTTTTATTGTGCCTTTCAATGAAAGACTGGTATTCTTGAGGTTATGCTGCAACATGCAACACATTAAAGCTAAACAATGAGTGCTGGAATTTCGTTTCCCTACCCCTTTAAAGTACCGGTATTACTTTAAGTACAATGCACTTAAAGTACTTCCCAACACTGCATTTTTAGTATGCAGTCTGTGTTAATTCTTATAACCTTTGACTGCACTCTCACTTACTGTGAAACTGAGTGTTGTTGTCGGCAAAGGCTGCAGATCTTTTCGGAATATGAAGTTAAGAAAAAAACCAACCAACATATTCGTTTGAAAATTTTTGAGCTTACTATTACATTAAAAAGTTAGACAACTTTCTAACTTTTTTTGGTGAGAGGTTCTACAACTTCTGAAATTATTCTACTAGAGGGTGTTTTCACTTCAGATTGTACAATGATGGTCCGGGTCATATTTATTATAATTTTATACAAAATATGCGTGGAAGTCCTTGGGAAGAGCATTCAGCTATATTTGAACATTGTTGCTAATTTTATCCCGGGGATATGCAATTTTGAAGCTTGAGGCATGGAGATTGCAAAGGTTTTACTATAACACTTTTCACGGTCGTCAATTTCACACCGAAGCATGCACATAGTAATAATTTGTCCTTCTTATATTATGAAAGGTTTACAACATGTACACAAAACATTAAAACTAACAATGAAGATATATATGCAAAACAAAAGCTACGAAAAATATCAAGTAAACACGTTTTAGAGACACATTTACACCTTTATGTAAAATGGTGCAAAATATATCAAAATTAATGTCCTTAAATGCATTTCGTGAATATCTAGAAATGACATGATTAGGCATATTGTAGTTGTGTTAAGGGGGGACATGGGCCTAAATATTAAATTTTTTTGAAAAAATTTATTTTTCAATTTTAAGGTTTTCAGTTTTATAAACTTATTATACACTCTTACACCAAATTTGATAACTATACCCCAAATAGTTACGTTGACATAAAATATTTTAACACATTGTGAGGCAGTAACAAAGTAAAGGAGTTCAATGTTCAAATGCATTTTTCTCAGTTCCACTTTTTGTTGCAAAATTCATACGAAGGAATCTTTTGTTCGAAGGTAAAAATATTTGGATATCACTATCAAGATGTTTCTGAACTGAAATTTACTGGGGAATTGGGCTATCTACTTTATTTTGTTTTAAGATGAAGTCCTCAGTGATAAAAAACTAAGTTTTAAAAAATTGACATAAGACATATTTTGAGGTAATAACTCTTCCTGAAATATTTACATTTAGGTTATTAAAACTAGATAGCGCGAGGTTTTATGTACCCCACTTTATATTCAAGCAGTCAAAGTGATGCTTATTAGCTTCATTTGCATATCATAGATTTCTTAATGAAAAGTGACATCATCTTATGCAGGTATGCAAATTTGTCCTAGGGAGCTGGAAGTTTGCACAGTACACCTACATCTGAAGCTAAATCTCCCCTGAAAATTTCATTCCAATCACTTCAGTAGTTCAAAAGTTTGACCTCTAGCCAGTGTCCCCCCTTAATAATGCGGAAACACAGCTTTTAAAAACTCGAGCTTTTATTTCTTTTCAACTCTTCTTGATCATCTGCAGTATCTTGAACTTGGGATGGGAAAACTTTGGGTATAGCATATGACCTCCAAGGGGAAAAAGATAACAAACCTTCACTCAAATTGAGTTAGTCACTTGTCTTCGTCATAGGGGCTTTGCCACATGACTTCGGCTCCAAAGAGACAATTTCTAGAACTGGCGGTGCTGCTCTATCGTAGGGTCTAGAAAGTCATACTGTCCCTAGCTTATCTTCAACAAGCAGCTCAAGAATGTTGGATTTTTACTTAAAACAGATTTGACGCTATGGCACTGAATGAGAAAACTATTAATAACATTGAGGCAATACAATAACATGTATATACATACAATAACAGAGCAAAGCATACTTAGCTACCTACAATTAGTACAAATTCTGCTTTGAGAGTTTCATATAGTTAAGGGAAAAAAAAAACGCTGGTATATCTCAATATATTTGTATAATATAGAGATAGAGTTAATGCTAGGACTTGCTTATAAAATATTCTCATAATTTCTTTTCGACTAAAAGCCTTGAAATCAACATTTGTTTGTCATTTATATTGTACAAGCGGAATGGGAAATAAAACACCGGTGTTTCAGTATATTTGTATAATATACAGATAGAGTTCATGCTATGTCTTGCTTTTAAAAATATTCTCACAATTTCTTTTTGACTGAAAGCGTCGAAATCAACATTTTGTTTGTCATATTTATTTTGTACAAGCAGCCCTTGGTATGTTAGTGACTGCAATGGTTCAACGGGCGTGGCACAGCGTGGCACTCGTTCCGGTGGCAAACATTTGGGTAACGTCCGAATCGTCCGGTTGCACGTGAATACGGGGGTGTCTGGCATCCGCAGGCGTGCGTGCATCACGCCATGCTCCCTGATGCTGGCGGTGGTGTACCTGGACCAGCTGCGGCACCGCAACCCGGAGTACCTGGCCTCGGTGTCCCCCTGCGAGCTCTTCCTGGTCTCGATGCTGGTGGCCTCCAAGTTCCTCTACGACGATGGCCAGGAGGACGAGGTCTTCAACGGCGAGTGGGCCGCCTCGGCGGGCATGGACCTGCGGGACCTGAACCTGCTCGAGCGACGCTTCCTCGACGCCCTGGTACGCGGCGCTCCGAAGCGGCGCTTCTCCGACTTCTCTGTCCCGAGGAATCCCCGCCTTCCTAGCAGCCAAGGAACGCTTCCTAGTCTTGGCATCGGTGCAGCAGTGCAGAAGCTGACAGACATTAGATGTAGATAGTTGGAAGTGTCTGGCCCTTAGATATACAGAAATTAGTTGCTCAGATCGGCTAAAACGGCACTTAAAGGGATGCTGAACCGAAATTTTGGGGGGAAATTCTTGGTCGCAATGGCATACATAGCATGTCCTTCCAAATGACGTTGTTTTGAGCGATAAGGCGTATAAAATTGAATAAACACGAAAAATACAATTTTACGCGACCCCTGGTGAGCGTCGTGGAAAGCTCGCTTCGTGACGTGCGCATTTTCATTCGCCTCAAAAGGCAGACGGAGCCAAGCCAAGCCAGGTGCTAAGCAGGGTGGTGTTTGTTATTGTTACTAGCACCAGCCGCTTTGAGAGCAGCCGCCGAGCGAAGAATCAAGGCAAGCACCAACGAACGAGGAGAATGCGCGGAGGCACCAGGGGCTCTGTGGGCGCCGAGAATGCACACGTCAGTTCCGCTACGCCTGCACTCGGAAGGACTCGCTCGTGCCGGCGGCTTCCGGCCGAGGATTCGCTCTAAATTCAAAGAAATACAATAATTCGGGCCCCATCCGTCTGATTGGATATCGTTTTTAGGTACAGTACCATCTCGTGAAGCCCGCTCGGGCAATAATTATGAGATTTCAAATACCGGTTCAGCATCCCTTTAAACTGGAAATAGGCATTAGGGGCAGCGATGGTCGAGGAAATTTGGGAGTTTGGTGGACCTTGAAGGATACTCTTGGGAACCCAGTTTGAGAACCCATGGTTTCTCAAACTGTCTGCTTGGGGAACGCGGCTGTTCCCCAAAGTACCCCCGTGAAGTCCCGAACTGTCAAATTCCTTTGGCCATCCTTTCCCCTAAGTAAAGCGTCCTACCGGTTTAAGCACCATCTTGGCAGATCGTAGCCATTCATACATGCATTGCTACAAACAAAAATGCTTCCTAGTATGTGCATTGTTGTTTACAAGTTCTGTGGGCTTCTGCACCGCCCGATTGCATCAATGTCGAGATTGGGAAGGGCTCCTCGATTGCCCGTTCCACGTACCGTAAATGACTCTATTTTTGCGGGCTCAATGTCGCAAATTTTGGGAAGTGAATTTCAGAAGCTTTTCACGGGCCCGAAAGTTTGCGATTTGGAGTTGTGCATCATGGAGGGACGTGTTTGCGAGACTAATTCTTTGCAATATTTCTTGAGTCGCGAAATTCGCGAAAATTAGGTTCTTGCAAAATTTAAGTTAATGGGGAACTCTCGAGATCAAAGAGTTTGAGGACCTCTGACCTAGAAAGCGGTGCATGTGCCTCTCCCGCTTCGACATCGTCGCTAGTGGATCTACGCAGCACCGCCCTGCTCTCGTCCGCATTGCTGCAAGCACATCTCACAGCGTCTTTCGACAAACCCGATGCTGGCAGGTACCATTGCTGAGGCGTAAGACTGTCGCATTGCAGCGTACTGTTGCCGAGCTTCGGTGGCTCGTTTGCTGCTTGGGGCGTATCCGAGATCCACCAACAGTGACGTGAGGCCTTGTCTTCTGTTTGGCCTTGCCTTCCTCACCCAGCCTCGCTTGGGAGGGGGACCCACATTTTGATTCCTCTTTTTTTTTTCCTGTGTCGCAGTTTCTTGGGTTTCTGGAGGTGACAAAACTGAGTTGCGTGGCCGCATTGTGTCGTGCGCACCGAGTTTCGCTTGGTGAATTTCTCTGTCTCGGTTATTGGTGTCGTCAGAAGGTGAAGACAACATCTTCACCTTCTGATGAATTTCTATTTTATTGGAATTTTGAAATCTAACTGCAGCAACCAATTTTTGCTGGCAAAATTGATAGCGTTGCCTGATAGCGGAAATTTTTTTTACGACTGATTACCGAAAGCTGTGCAGGAAATTTAATGTACCGCATTTTTTATTACCCATAGCTTCACCTGATAAAAGCGAGTTGCTACAGTGGAGTGGCCAGTATTATGTCTTCTATGATATCTTCATTATCATAATTTCCTATTTTTTCTTTGAAGTACTCAATGGGATGACACATGCCTATATGGTTGCACTTTTTTGTTATTTTGATTTTAGACACGCTTTAAAAAAGATTTAGAATATCTTGTTCTTTTATATGTTCAAAGTTAGACAAATGGTCATAATATGGAAACTGAAATAGTGTTGAATGGCCTAAGGTTTCAACCTTATGCGTCATTCAATAACCCCGCTGCACTCTTACACATGAGTTGCATGTGACCATTATGAACAATAAATAGCACAAGGGTCAGACAAGGACGCAAAAGTGTGATCTTGTCCTTGTCTTGCCTTCGTGCTATGTATTGTTCATAATGCTTACCCAACTAGACCACCTCAATATTTTTGCATGTGACGTCATCACATCACTTCCTACTGGTTCTCGCCAAGAAAGAGGCTCGAGGTACACCTAAGCACTTCCTATGAGTTGTAAATGTGAAAGCATAGACGCCGCTCTTCCGCTCCCTTCTTTCGTCTGCGGCCTACTTGCGTTGACGGTCAAGTGCTTGCGCTGACCTTGGGCGTGGAGCGGTGGAGCCGTTGCCTCGGGGACACGCAGTGCCATGGGGGTGGCAATCGTTGAAACTGACTCGTTGCGGCCAATGGAAGCCTCGTTGACACGTGCCAGCCAGTGGGACTGAAGCCGAAATCCATCGGCTTTACTTTGCTCCTTTGGGATCGGGGAAACAAGGTGCCGTTTGGCTAGGTTTTTCGCGTCTGTTCATAGCTGGGAGCTGGCTTCACTTGTAGAAAGGATTTAAGGTGCCGTTTGGCACAACTTCAAAGCTGGTGACGTCGGCTAGCTCCATGGGGCAGTTGTTGTTTTCGCATTGAAACGTATGTACGCTGCAGATAAGACGCACTCACCACTAAGGCCACGACAGTGGAAGCTGATGTGACGTCAGTGCAAGCGATGCATAGAAAAATGGCAATTTTTTTTTAGTAAAAGCGGCCGTAGTTATTGGTCCACAAACTTAATTATAACTTTTATTAAGCCTGAGTAAACAGATTTGTCTTTACCTACAGTGGTCCGTCTACTATATTTGCGATTTCAATTAGTTTCGAGACAAGTCAGACTTTTTGCGAAGGCCGGTTGGCGCCATACCGAATGCCTCCCAACTTTTTTCTTGCAGGACTGGAACCTCTATGTGAAGCCCGAGACATTCACACACGTGCTCGAGGGCATGGAACATCGGTAAGACCAGTGTCTCGTCTTTGTGCCTGCCCGCAACATATTTTGTTGCACCCAAGGTTAATTTTTTTCTCATCGACAAAACTTGTAATCATGGCCTCCAGCACTTTCCTTTTGCTGGAGTGAAGTGGTGAACGATGCCAGTTGGTAGACGAGACATGAGCAAGAACTGCACAGAACTCAAAAATGAAAGCTGAAAGGAAAATGCTCAGTGTGTTGGTTGTGCATGTGCCTTTCCAATCTTTTCTAGTTTTGTGTGCTTCATTATGGCATTAAACAAACATAAATTTTGACACTTTTTTTTTTTTGTGAAACATTTTATTTGGTTTGAGTTTCACATTCAACACTAAGAGTGTTGAATGTTTGGCATATTTCTTCTTTATGGTCTGTCTGGGTGGTTTTGTTGGCTTCTCATTAGGCACTGTTGCATTCTGGAGAAGTGACGCCTGTATAGTGGGCACTGTGCATCGGGCAGTCTGTGCTGCTTCTACAAAGCTTAAAAGGAAATGAAAGCACTTTCTGCGATAGTCTTTTCATGGTTTTAACTCAATCTATGATCTTTATGCATCCTAAAAAACCAAACATTACATTCATACGAATGCTTGAAGGAATCAAACATTGAGGACAGCGACGGAAACAAGACTTTTTTCATATAAGAAGTCCTGTTTCTGTCGTTGTCCTCAATGTTTTCTCTTTTCAACTATCCATATCTATTCACGAACACCCTCGTTTTCAATTATTACGTTCATGTGTGGCCGTTTTTTCTATAAAAATCTGTATTGAAGATATTACCTCGGAACTATATCGCTGACTCCGAGGGGTGTTGTCGAGCGAGGAGAAGCCCTTGGATGAATGGATGCGGCTGAACCCTCGTAATCGGGCGGCGGCTTGTGCCACCTAGCCAAAGCTTCGAAATCCAAGAATTAACTAATCTCCCATTAAATTCTGATTTAATGAAGAGAGGCAAAGAATCTGTTGCCACTAAGCAGCAGCATTCATCTACCATTCTTTATACGCATAGGTTACAATCCGTGTGACGGTGCTTTCTGGTGTCTGCGACAGTCTTCAATACTGATTTTAATAGAAATCTGCCACGTATGAATGTATTGTTTGGTTTTTTAGGATGCTTGGAGCCCAATGCTCAGCTGTCAAAGAACCCGTGAACTGTTAACCTGGAGGGATGCCTACGGTAGAATGGGCGTCTATTGTATCCCCTTCCACTGCCGTGCCACCGACAGGCAGGGGCGGATGCAGGAATTTCCTGAGGGGGGGGGGGTCAGGTGTTGGTCAGCGTACCATACGTTTAGGAACCTCCCCCTCCCCCTCGTTTCACGTCCTAAATTTTACACATGCAAAGATCAAGAGGGGGGTCAGGACATCTGGACCCCCTTCTAAATCCGCCCCTGCCGACAGGGTTGTGGCAGGGCATGACACGGGTGGGACATCGTTGGGCAAAAATGCGGGGAACATGGATGGGGGTGCAGTAAATGCTCCAGTTGGAGACGCATCTCAGACACCGTGGTTTCGTATCCCTTCTGCTCCGAGCCAGTAAATGCACGTTTCCACCGTGCAAGTGGGGAGCCACTAAGAGGCATGACACGGAGTTCTTGCCCTTGCAGGATAGCCTACCTGGAGTTTTGCAGACGAGGTTGGTCCACGTACACAGACATCTCTGCGCTGAGTAAAGGTGCAACGCTAGGGCACTGCTGGCTGCTCGTCTACGACGGTGTCATCAAGGTGAGGAGCATTTCCTGCTGAATGGGAACAGGTCGTTCAGCTCTTCAGAAAGTGACACTCTTGTCTGAGCACGTGTGCCGGCGGTGCATCCGTCTTTTTTTTTTTTTTTTTTGTCTTCCCTCTCTTTTGCTTGAATGAAGTGGGTGGCATGTTTCTGCAAGGTTCTACCAGTTGCATTTAGTTTTCGCACCCGTTGCAAGGATATGTTTGTTGTGCCGGAGATTGTGAATGGAACGAGACAAGTGATCTTACTCCGACCAAGATTCGGAAAGATGCACAAGAGCGGGGCCACAGGTTGGTGCTTACGTTAATACAACTTTCCAGGCAGCAATGTAGGGAACTGCCTTGCCCTCGAAGAGACTTGTGTGCAACTTTTACGGCAACTGCCGTTACGGCTTCTTCCCACCACTGGAAATGACATCTGTTGTCGTTGCAGCCATAGTTGTCAGCGTAGGGCGTCCGTCTTCAATGTCTTCAAATGCTCGAAAAAGATTGTTCGCCGTCGTGGTGTTCTCGAGCTGGGTCTGCCACATGTGAAGCGGGCGCGTTACCACAGGGCTTCGCCACAGCTTTGAAAATCTGCTTTATTGGCATTTCATAAACACAGTCCGTACGTGTCTCAAGTAGTGACCACTAGATGGCCACAGCTGCTGTGACGTCACGATAGAAAATTCTTTATTGTGACTGTGACTGTACTGCGGATTCACGAAAGATTGCTCATTTGTTTGGCGTGTTTTCCGGGTGGTATAATTGGGAGAGTCTTTCTTGGAGGTAAATTTGAGTTGTAAATTTGGCATTTATCGGAGGTTACTTCCCTTAATTTCCTCTGTCTTAGAAATATGGCATTCATCTGAGTTTAATATGTTGTTCTATTGGTATATATTTTGTATACACAATATCTCGTAAAACGCCGGCCAAATCGTTCTTGCGAAAAGTTTGCATCTCGGTGAATAAGGTTGATGTCGTATTGGTCTCTGCCAAAAGTGCCCATTTAAAAAATTTAATACTGTTCGTTGCTGTTAGGTTCTTAATTACTAAGTTTATAGGTATGGATTCATTTTGAAACTTGTTGGGCATCGTCGAAAATTACTAAATCCACCCCATGATAAAGGTACGAAGCATGCCAGCCTTTTATGGAGCTCTGAAAAAATGCTCAATGTGGACGCGTTTTCAAGATTCGGTTTTTCATCAAAACGCACCTCCATGCCAGCAGTTTGGCTCCCCCCCCTTAGCCAACATCTGTGACTGGCGTGCACCCCCACTCATTCCTTGCATAACGGAGGTGAACCCAAGAATCCTATTCTTGCAATGCCGTTCAAGCAGCGCATCCATTAATTTCTCCGGTTTGCACCACACTTCCATCCCCAATACAAGGGAAGCGAAGTGCTGGTTGCATGCTTTGTCCACAGAGGTGCCGGACCACTGCCGTGAAATTGCTTTTAGTAGAAGCCGAAACCTATAATTGCACACTGATTTTGTGTTTTTTTGAAACATTGTAAAATGTTGCGCATGCTTGATGTTTTTGTAAAGAGCACTGCCCTGGTGGTTTTCTATGATACCCATAGAGCTTCTAATTGAAACCATGCTTTTAAATTCGGTCATTTTAAACGTAATTATACTGAAAAATAATTAATAACCTAATTATACCAAATGCTATTAATTTTTCTAAATGGGCCCTTTGGCAGAGGCTATATATGACATCAAAGTTTTTCTGCATGATGCATACTTTTTGCAGTAGTGAATTGGCCCATATTTTATGAAATGCCATGTTTAGCAATATTATTATACTGTTGCTAAAATAAAATAAAAATAAAAAGATTGGGAAAAAACATTTAATGATGGAGCCTCCTCTCAGCAACTTGTTTTGTTGTCTTTGAATGTAACCATGGGCTTCCAGGGAAGCGCCACCTGAAAGAGGAGTTCATTCTGACTGTTTCTTGGTAAAAGACTGTTACGGGTTTCTTCTCAGGATAAGGTTCGCCATGCATGGCCATAGATTCAAGGTCCCAAAACTTCTGCATGGCTTCAGATACATCTGCACTGTCCGTTGTGGCCTTCAGTTTGACTACTTGTGTACGCTGGATTGCAAGTGCGGAGAGTTCGGTTGGACTTTGTATAATCCAGCCAAGAGACGTCTCAATTGCTCAAAGTTTTCTGTCGTGTCTCCTTACATGGCCTGTGACGAAATCTAACGGCAGTCCACACCAATCAGGACGTCCACGCCTGTTGGTTCATCATGGTCACAGAAAGAGTCTGCTGCCATGTATCTTATTGCTCCTACCGTAAAATACCGAGCATGGGCCCATGTCATATTAAGGGCCCACCCCCTATTTTTGAATGATCTCAAAAACAAACAGAGGACACATCAACCCCCCCCCCCCCCTTTTTAGGCAAATTTAAAAAAAAATATGTGAAGGACATGGCAAGCGCCCAGTCGCCGCGGACGGCCATTATCTCCTGAAGTTGAAGCGACCGGCACTAGTTCTGAATCACGACAGCGCGGGCGAAGGACTCCGGCGCAACACGGCAACACTCCGGCGCCACGGGAATCGAGGTCAAATGGCAGAAATAACAAAAGATCAGGCGGGCTGGTTTACAAAGGAAGAGAGGCAAGGGCACGGTGGCACGAGTGAAGCAGTGAAGATACACTACGTTGGAAAGGAGGATCTAGCAAATGGAAAGCCGCACGGAGCTTAGCGCGTGTGCTGCACACGTGCCGTGTGCCCGCGTGCCTCTGCTTCCGCTTGTTGTTCGGTGGTTCGGTTAGTTCCGTGTTCATTGCGCTGCATTGCTTCCGTTCGCTCGGTTCGCTTGTTTGGACGATGCACTCGTATACGGTCACTAGGAAAGTCAAAGTTGTTGAGTGGCATAGGCGCCACAGAAAGAATGTAAGCCGGACATCGCGTGAATTCAAGATTGACCGTAAAAGAGTGCGCGAGTGGGACTCAAAATACAAACTGCTCCTGCAACAGAACCACCAAAGATCACGGCTCAAACGCAAGCTGAGTGATGGGGCGCCAGCCTTCAGTAAAGAGGTTGATGATGCCTTATCATCAAATGGCCGCCATTTTGAATTCGGTGGTCGGGCCGAGCAAGGGCCCACCTGACTATGCTATCCTTCTGCATTTTTGCTCTCGGACCTAACAAGCGCCCATCCCCGAGTTTTCCGCGATTATCCCATAATTTTGAGTGAGCGCTTGCTCGGTATTTTACGGTAGTTCGTGACATACTTCTTGCTTTGGGTGGGGTAGTCGTTGACCACAAATCCTACTCGTTTCGAGTACTCCCAGATGGAAAACTTCTCAATTCTTATTTTCAAGTGCTATGAGAACTCTGCAGAAGTTTCTTTCTGTTTATTGTCACCGAACGCTCCCCATGTCCGTCGCTCATTGTCCAGATGCTTGCATCCGCGTATTCGAGACAGTTCTGTGACGAGTGGCCTCTCACTGGTGTCGTTGAAAAGAACTCTCAGAAGAATCCGTTGGTGATGTCCCAAGCTCCAAACTGTCGTGGCCTTCAGAAGTACAGTTTTCTCGACCACTTCAGTAACTGTAGATTGCAGGGCGACTGAAGTGGGAGAAGTCTCCTTTGTTCGTTTCTGGACCTTGCTTGAAACGCTGAATCACACATGGCCGATGCATGTTGTCTGATTGAGCAAGAAATTGTTGAGCGAGAAATTCTTTACTCTTTACCTATATTGTTTAGCAAGATTATTTTCTTTGTACACCTGAAGCACCGTTCAGCACTCATTGAGATTTTTCTTTTCTCTGTAAGAACCATCTTTGCTTCGCACAGTTCTATGTTGTGGTCTGGTGACTCGCAGAAAAAACAACTCGATCTGTCTGTCTGCTGTAAAAGCATTGAGGCCGTTCCTCTGCAATGCCCTAGTTTAGTCCTGGGATTTAGAGCTTGAGCTGCTGCTCCACCCTCTTTACCTGCCGTTTGTCTTGAACTTTTGAATTCTGTTTTTCTTGTCGAGGCTCTTCGTTCTCTACTTTCAGCTTCAATATGCAAGAATCGCGGAGTGCAGACAGTGTTTTCATTGTCGTTGTTCCTGTGCTTGCTCGTTTTCTTCGCCAAGCTGTGTTCATTCCAAATATCTGAGCAAAACTGTTCCTTGTCTGAAGGACTTTTCTGTTGAAGGTTGAAGGACTCTGGAATCAGCAAAAGTATCAGGGGACATAGCAGTCATAAATTAATCTTTTGTACACCCCTAGTGATTTCAGTTCACGTATCTGGCCTGTAGGTCATCAAGTAGTCGCCGGAGCCCTCAAACATCTTGCGCAGAACGAATTGGCTGTCGTTCCTCTAGTTTCATCATGTGGTCATCCACAAGCAGTGCCTTGTCGCTGTATCGTGTCCTCAGGATACATCTTCGTAGCAGCTTGCTGTTGGTGGCAATCTGGGGATTACTGCTGTACCTTCCCCTGACAATGCAGATCTGAGGTAGTGAAACTTATCGGCCGATGACAATTCTGAGTTGTTCTGGATGACCTGCTCGAACTGTTCCCAAAAGGGTCTCCACTGTGGATGTTGTCCATTGAACTTGAGCAGTTTGAGATTAGGCAGCTTGACTTTAATTGTTTCAACAGGGACAACGTTGCCAGTTGCACTTGATGGCTCTCGTGTTCCAGCTCTTCCCTGAAACGTCCCCACTTCAAAGGCAAGTCTTGTGTAGTGGGTGACGATTCGGTCATTGTATTTGATGAAGCGAGCTTATTCTTGTTCCGCACCACCCACTGCCAGCAACGGTTCGATGGCAGTATTCGTTTCAGTCAGCTGACTGTGTTGTGCGTTGAGACGAGTCAGTAAGGTGTTGAACTCTTCTTCAACTAACACTTTGTTTTGGTAGGCTGCATCCAGGGTAGCTAAACTTGTCGAGCACAACTTTGTGTCCGAAAATTGTGGAACACGCTAATTGGACTCGCGCGACACTGACGTCAAGCCGAGCGAGGTGTCAATCATCCAAGCTCTCTCGGTGCTCAAATTCCAGCGAGAAT